ATCGTGAGACAAACGATAATACACTTTATTAAGCTACGATTTGTTTTCAACTCTGATTGGTTGAAAGCACAGGTCTTTGCATTGACTGCACGCTGCGCAATTTATTCATTACCTCATTGAAGAAACGCAACACAGCAACTCCATCGCCCCAGGCATGTTCAAAATGTACCGCGGCTTTCCCATCCTTGCAAATAATCAGCTGGAGTGACTTGTCGAACCATCTTTTGGAGAAAAACAATGAACGAACTCTAAACCAGACTGAGTAAAATAAATAAACTCAAACGCTAAACCAGAAGTAAAGTCTATAGGGCGGATCAAACGAAAATGGAAGTGGAAGCAAAAGTAAGAGAGTTTTCTTTTGTTTTACAGGCAAATTAAGTTAATTCTTGAATCTCCTCAGATCATTTCGCGTTACTATTGCTCTGATAAAGGGTTACCACTCATCAGAACTTCAGCTTTTCAAATCAGCGACGGCAATTAATGCGACTTTTATAAATTTCAAGTTAAAAATCAATAAACTGTTCCATTTACTACCAGCGTGACACAACAAGTTCTTGAGAATCTAATAGTTTTACATCGCAAAAACCTGTCACATTGCTTGCGTCTCTGCTTTGTTCTCTTCAACACAATATTAAAAGTTATAAACTTGATATTCCTCACCTATTTTTTCCATCACCATGTAAAAACGTTCTTGTCACATCTGCCACGCTGTTAACCTCGTGATCATCCAGGCACAGAACAAAAATAGCGCTGTCAATCAACTTGAGTACCTCCTCGTTACCTGGAATGGCTTCCAGCGCATGGCGCATGTTCGCCCAAGTGTCACGGTTTTCTGATGTGAGAGCGGCGATCGGAAAGTTGGGGGGAGGGGCAGGGTCGTTGACAATATACTTCAGATTTTGATAAATAGTAGCTGTTGGGACAATATAACCTGAAAGGTAAACAAGACCGAAAATTGCGTCCTTAAATTAAGGGTAGAACTTGAAGGGATAGGGTCACCAGAAACATATTTAGTACGCAGGGAAACCCACAGTAAGAGTCTAGTTATGTGGAACAGGACAAGAAACCATTCTGAACAGATGTTACATTTAAGAACAAACAAAAAGATTGCAATGGGAACATTCTTTACAACGAGACTTTCCTGTTCCAAAGGCTGGGCCAGATTTCTAACAGTACTATTCCAAATTTCTCCAAAAGTATACCGCTGTTTTCATTTGAGTGTTGTAATTTAACGAAAACTGAGGCAATGATATCGGCCAATCACAATAAATTTAAACAACACAATGAACCATTGAACACACGAAGAAATACACGCAAGGGGCGCCAAGCGTGGGAAAACGCACGTGATCAAACCGTGATTGCTTTTGGCTTGGCATCTGATTGGTCGAGTTGGTCATGGACGCTTATAGTAACCAATCACGAAACCCACTTCTTATTACTTTCTACACTCGATTGAAAGCACCTCTGGTTTTTTTGTAACTACGCACCTATTGGTGAGTACATTGGTCTTGCTGCACCGCTAAATTCTCAACACTGACTTAAATATAGAGAAACCAGTTGGGAGAAATTAGATTTGGACCAACTTATCTTACCATCTGTTGTTATTGTATCAAACACGTAAAAGTTGCCTTTCCTCATCACGACTATATGTCGTCCACTCTCAAAGGTAGCAAGCCGGTCTTTCTTCAGCTCTGGTATCCTTGTTGAATTAAACAGCCTGGAATATTGACTCATATCTAGAGGGAATGCTTTCACTAGAAATGCACCATACCATGATAACTGCCTGGGAACAAATCTGAAATCAACCACACCAATGAGTGGATTAGTTCTACGCTGTCAGTAAATTGAAGCACGAAAATGAATCTTACAAAACACAAGTGGAAAATCTTAGTTATGCAAACCAAAAGACTGTTTTGGAACCGAAGCCATCTCGATGGGTAGGCAACAGCGTCAGAAATTGTTAGCAGTGTTTTATGAGAATCCGATTGCGAAAAATTTTCTTGATACATGTAATTGAATTCTGAGCATTTTATGAATAGCAAAGTACATAAGATACTAAACAAAGGATTGCATAGACCAAATCTGAGGGATGTATCCATGCTATAAAGCATCCAGTCGCATGTTTAATTTCCCTACATTAGCCCGTGATTTTTTCCACGAAGCGCGCGAACTTGTAAGCCGCGTACGAGTTCTCGGAAAATCTAAGTGGACTGGATCATCACATTGGATTCTGGATTGCCCTTGGCACTGATGCTCTTTTATACATGTACGCTGAAATAACTTTATTTCTCATCATTATGTAATTTTTTTTCTACCTGATGTTTTTACTGTGTATAAACAATGATTAAAGATCAAAGATTAAGGTAAATGTTGTGACTAAGGAGAACCAGTATGTAGAGAGATAAGGACCTCTTACCTTATAACATTCCTAAACCACTGTGTATCACTCAATTGTGGCTTCAAGTGATAAATATCTGGTTCAAGAAATGTTTCATCTAATGATAACTTAAATCTCATGGCTGAATTTATCATGTTGGTGGCTCTGACCAGCTGTAAACAAAGAATACCACAAAGCAGGTTAAACATACTGCTAAATCATTTTAGGCAATTAATATTTTACTTGCTGTATCAGTCTGTACATTTAGCTGACTGGTACTACATGTATCACTCAATTTTACATTATTTTCCTTATTAAGTCAGAGTTTCAGTTGTCATCTGTTTAGGGAGTAGTGGGCTACTTTCATGAAGCAGAAGGCTGACTCTGATTCAAATGGCAAAAGGACAAGCCTCAAGGGAAGTCTGGGGACTTGAAGGGTTCTTTTCAGCATTTTCTTGAAGATATTTCCTCACAAAAAAATGGAAAAGGTTAAAATGCCAAAAATATTTAGTGATTACAAAGACTTTTTGCAACTTTTATTCAACAGTGCTAGCAATATTAACTGAAACTGGACACCACACCCTGACCCCTCTCTATCTACACTGAGATAAGGCAGTCAAGGTTCAGCAACATTCCAAAAAAACCCTGTGTTTTCCTAAATTTCTCTTTACAACTTAGACATGCATTATTTCACGATTTTTTTTTTTGAGAACCCTGTGCGTAGAATTTTTGTATAATGTGCAATTGCCTTCAACTATCATTGAATTGCCATATAATTGAAGCACTTTTTTGATATTTCAATTATGCAGTGACTTATGTGTACATGAACAAACAAATGCAAAAATAATGCATGCCAGTTAGGCCAAAAGGACTCAAGTACCTGATCATTATTTTCTGTAGCTGGATCATCGTTAAACATCAAAAATGGATTGTAGTTCAGAACTATTGGATCCCTTGCTGACAAATACATGTCATACCATGGATCTGACAAATGCCGATATCACATACGAAAAAAAAAATCATATTCAATATTGCTATTTAAAAAACAATATTTTCCTGTGTCAGTATTTACTTGTTTTGACATACAAAATTTTCATTAAAATATACTTTTCCTATTTCAAGAGCTAAAGATAGTCACAAGACAGAGAGGGATGGAGAGACTTTCTCACTGGTAATAATAACAACAACAACAACAACAAAAACAATAATAGTAATAATAATAATAATAATAATAATAATAA